ATTCAAAATGGTTAGGATAGAAATATAGTTGCATTCTCTTAATGAATAGAATGATTTGTTCTAATGGTGTTTGTAAATAGGATCACAAGTCCACTTCTTGTACAGCAATTAACCACTGAGAAGAATATATGCAGTGTATTATATGTTGAAACTGTACTTTCGATTAGATTTGAAACTGTCTCATTGCTATCTGTTTATCAATAAAACTTTGAAAATAAAAAAAATAAAAAATAAAAAAAACAAAACTTAAAAATCATCCACAAAAAATACACATACACACACATTCAGAGATAAAATATGTTTCTGAGTACCACAAACTAGACAAATTAGTCTTTGGATTTGATGATTCTTGATTATATCTGAAATAACTGTAATATTATGCTTCTAAAAGTGAGATCTGAATCTGGTCACGGCAGCACGCACCTGTAATCCCAGCTACCTGACTAAAGCAGAAAGGCAGCTTGAACCTGGAAGTTTGAACCAGCCTTGGCAACGCCCCCCCCCCCTTTTTTATTCTCTTTTTGAGACAGGTTTCACCATATAGTCTATGCTGGCCTTGAACTTGCAGCTACCCTCTTCCTTGGTCTCCTGCCTGATGGGATTATAGCCGTGCACCACCAGACCCAGTTCTTTTTTTGTTGTTAACACCCTGTCTCTTAAAAATAAAATGAAAAGTATGAGATCTCAGGAAAGACAATACATTTCTTTCTTTTCTTTTCTTTTCTTTTTTTACAGGTTTCATGCAATGGTTTTCACAGTGTAGATCCAAAATATAAAATCTTAAGTATCAATAACGTAAAGATAGTTTACGCTTGCATACACTTCTAATAATATCTCCACATTAACTTCACTATGTTTAAACTGAAGGAAAAGATCGATTATAGTGCAACATTCATGTTCAAAACCAGGTTAGGATCTTACTTCTTTTCTCTCTTTCTGTAAACTGGAAATAGCCATGCTCCTCATAAGTGGATAATCCTCTACCTGCTTCTGAGGTTTTCTTAGAATTCCAGATTGACTTATTGGCTTGTCTTGTTTGCTGCCTTTCATATCTTTACTCATATTTTGCACTTTCTTGGTCCTTTGATTCTTCTGATCAAATCTCCTTTGTTCATCTTTTCTTGCCAGTTCATCCTTAAGTGAAACAGAATTAAAATTATTTCAAACCTATCAAAGTAGTCATGCTTTCACTCCAGAAAAATAGTTGAACTATTTTTTTTTTCTGGTATAAAAATACAGCTTAGTAGCTGAAAATGCTTTAAAAATAAGAGATTTTCATTTATATATGAATATAATTCCCTATAAGAATAACTAAAAACATGTATAAACTAAAAATATTAGTATTCTATGCAGTAGGGTCAATAGGACATAGCAGATGAAGTACAGAGACAGGAGAGCAACTTCTCATTAGAAATTTTTTAAAAGATTTTTTGATACTTGAACTATATGAATTTAATAACTTTTAAAATTAAGTTAAATAATTTCTTTAGAAAAGGAAATAGCCAAGTGTTTGAATGCATGCCTGTAATACCAGCTACTATGGAGACCGAGGCAGACTGATTCTTACTTTAAAGCTAGACTGGGCAACTTCATGAAACACTATCTAAAAATAAAATTTAAAAAGTACTTGGGATATAGCTCAGTGGTAGGGCACCTGCCTAGAATGTGCAAGGGCCAGGCACCAATCCTCAGTACCAAAAAAATAAAATA